CAGAGGCAAAACACTAGGTGATTTCTTCCCATTTGTTTTAGTTACACAGTTATTTGGTACCTGTTGTTGTTGGTGGGAGGTGGCAAGTATCCTGTGGAATTAAGTTGGTGCAAGCTGGCTCTGGCCCACAATTATCAAAAAACTGAATTCATCATATGTTAGTTATTGGCATTAATGATTAGTTTTATGAAGACAAACTTGGAGAAAGGTCAGTAAATTTATCCCTTAATTATTTTACATACACAACATGTCAGTAAATTTGGGACTGATTGGGTAGGTTGCATCACTTGCACTAATTTTGATACCTTTAGTTGATAGAGAGTGAAATTATATTAAAGGTTCAATTACAAGAAGAGGACATTGACGAGGAGCTCTCTGAATTAACAGAAGTTATTGGGATCTTTTGTTATTCACTTACCTGCGATTCAACCTGTTGTTATGAAGGAGGGATATATAATAGATAGATCTCAACAGTGGAAGGTAAATAATGAATCTTATGGCTTTTTGATAGGTCAAAAGCTGCAAGAGCAAAAAAATTGCTTCGGAAGAAAGAAATGTTAAAGGAAGCAAAAAAAGCTGCAGCTTTGGCTGCTGGAGCTGACTGGAAAAGTGATGATTCGGACAGTGAGTTTCCTGTGAGAAGCCCATAGCCAATGTCTTCTGTTATAGTACATGTTACATACTTTTTATACCCTTGATTTTAACCTAATACTTCCTTCTCTTTCTTGTATGCTATCCTAATTCTTAAGGAGGAGCACGTATACCGAGAGCCTCCACTACCAGATCTTCTAAAAGACGAGGAACACCTGTGCCTTATTGTAGATGTTAGTATTTCTTGCTTCCCATCTCATCTCTTTCTTTAATTTTTTTCTTGCTTGTTTTGATTGTTATCTTTTTCTTTCTTTTCCTTGATGATCATGTCAGTTTCATATGAGCTCTTGTTCCATTTTCACACATTAATGCACTTGTTGTGTTTATTCGTTTTTAGACGACACATGCTTACAGTTTTTATACCAGTACAGATAGTTATTAAGTCTAAGCAGAGGTATGAGATGTCTTCTTTGACATGTGTAGTTGAATATGACAACATACACAGGAAATTTCAATGCTAAATAGATCTCCAATTCTCTTCTGATTCTTTGCTTGCTCTTTTTACTAGTACTTGTAGTTCTGTCAGACAGAATGCAATTTTTCACTTTAAAGTCCTTTTTTGTAGCTCTGCAAGGCTTTAATATCCTTGCAAAGGTATTGGGATGCACTTGAGATCATTAATCTGTGTCTAAAATTGGCATCCAGCACATTGTCTGTTGAGAAAAAAGAGGAGCTGCAAGCTCTAGGAGCTCGTAAGTTTCAACTTGTAGTGTTAGCACTCTCTCCCTTTACTTTTGTTTGTATAAACTACTTTGAGACATCTGTTGGTAGGTTGAGATATACTAGGTTTGATTAATGTTGTAAAGTGAAAGGCAGAGATGCATGCTTGCTGAAACGTTCTTTTTCTATCTTGTAGAAGTAGGATATAACATTGCTGATCCCATCCATGGGTTCGATTGTGCACGTTCCATTGTCGGTCAGCATCCTTACAGCTTTGCAGCATGGAATTGCTACTACAAAGTAATATCAAGGTATCAGCAAATTTGTATCAGTATTCTGAACGCTCTTCTGTTTTTGTGGTTGGTACTAGTGGAATCGGTTTCTGTTTCCCTTGTTAAGCAGGTACTTGGCAGAATTAACTGAATAATATAGGTAATTAACTGTTTGTAAATGTTTGTTTGCACTCGCTGATTCTGCCGAGCTCCCGTGAGTTGAGATAGGGAGAATGTGGCTAATAAGTTTCTTGTGCCTACACTATGTTGGAAATATTTCATACTGTGCATTTAATAAATTTTATTACATGCACTACTAAAGTAACAAGGATTGTTTTTGTGGTTGGGCATTTTTGGGGACTAAGTAACAGTCAGCAAGCACTGGCATGGATTGGTTCTTAGGGTTTATATATCCTAAATGTACTACAGAAAGTTCTTGGAGGGACATGGCTGTCATTGGTCGTGTTGGAACCCACCACCCATCCAGTAGTATTTTGAGTATAACATTAAGGTTTTTTTTAAGATCGGTAAATGATAAAGAGTACCACATTAAGGTTATGAATAGCTATTTGATTCATGCTCCTTGTTTGACTTCTTTCCTTCAATAGAATAGTGTTATTTTGTATTATTTGAATTCATTTTGGCGTCTTTAACTTCCTAGCTTTTCAGGTTTTCCAATTATTATATCCTATACTCTAATAAATTAAAGTATAATGATGTATTCACATCCTACAACAACAATATGCTCAGTGTAATCCCACAAGTGGGGTCTGGGGATGGTAATACGTAGACCACACCCGCTTGTATTAATCTTTGTGATAATTGTATTTTTTCCACCACCTCATCGTCCGTGTTTTGATCCAGCAGCCTGCTTTTCCAGTAGCATTTTGAGAATCATAATTTGATTTATGCTCCTCAATTTTGTTTGACCTGATTTCTATTTGAAACTGTATATTGTCTGTCCTTCAACAGCAATTTTACAATCATCAGGAAGTTAATTGACATAAATAATACATATTTTATATTATTTTGAATTCACTTTGACATCTTTAGATCTCCAAGCATTTCGCGTATCATTATTTCCTATACTCTTAACAAATTAAAACATAAAATTGTATTCGGACATTCTAGTATAAAACTTTGTGCTTGCTAAAGTAGGTGGTTCAGTTTGGGAAGGAGGGACTATCTTATTTTTTTGAGATAAAGGTAACTGAAGGAGGGACTATCTTATGCATTTAATGCAAATACAGTTCTCAGATTTGAACTTTAACACAATTAATTGATACTTTTTAGTAACTTCAGTTGTTTTTTCGTCAGCCTAGTAATCTACTAGTCTTTCAATTGTTTTCCTGTCCACTGTAGTTTTGAAACTTAAACATCTTTGCCATCTTGTCTTACAAATTCATGACTGCATGATCTTATCTCTGATTTATTATTGTAACTTGTTTGTTTGATTATGGATGATCATGTACAGACTAGATAATCGACATTCGAAACATAGCAAGTTCTTGAGCCATATGCGTGCCAAACACAAAGATTGCATACCACCAATTATTATTGCTGGTCATCAGTTTACCACGATCAGCCATCATCAAGATGCGGCTAGAGAGTATTTAGAAGCTTATAAGCTGATGCCAGATAATCAGTTGATAAATCTCTGTGTCGGTATGGGTTTCTTCTAACAATCAAATAAAAGAAGGCAGACTTGACATTGTTTTAATCTTTCATGGTATCAGTTTCAAGGTTTGACCTTTGCCTTTTTTTTTCCAGGAAGTGCTATAGTAAATGTAGCTCTTGGATTCAGACTTCTGAACAAGCATCAGTGTGTACTACAGGGAATGGCTTTCCTGCATAATAATTTGAGGCTTTCAGGAAACAGTCAGGTTCTACTTTGAACTTGCCTAGCCTTCTTTGAAGTCTGAAATACGACTTTTTTGTGACGACCTAAAGTTTAATATTTTTCTTTTCCATTACATCAACGTAGTTAGAAGTGTTGGGGGCATCTAAAGGAACCCCTTGAATCTCTTTTGCAGGAAGCACTCTTTAATTTTGGTCGAGCTTGTCATCATGTTGGTCTTGTTTCTGAAGCTGCCATATATTATCAAAGAGTACTTGACACTCACGAAGACGATTATCCCATCCCAAAGCTTCCTAATGAGAACCTAGATCCCGTGGAAAATAGAAAACCAGGTTACTGTGATCTACGCAGAGAAGCAGCATATAATCTGCACTTGATTTACAAAAATAGTGGAGCACATGATCTGGCAAGACAGATACTGAAAGATTACTGTACTGTATGACAATGACAATATGCGCTATAAGGACAAGATAGATGTATGCAGATTTTATCCCTACCTTTGTGGAGGAGAGAGATTGTTTCCGAAACAAGTGTAATACAAACTTTGTTATAATAATTCGCTCTTGTCTGATTGGATATGGATCAACAACTCAAACCAAACAAACAACTGACCAAATAGCATGAGCCAAAAAAGTGAGTATAAACGCTTGCAACGTGAGTTGAACAATAAACCAAGTATTGAAACCATGACTATCCCACATTCTCAACCAAACATCTTCATTGAGAGTAAACTCAAACGTTAATATTACAAAAATTCAGTATATACATTGCATAATTTTTTATTCTTGGACCAACCGAAAAAAGGATTACAAATAAAATGGAGAGATTATCTAGGACTTTCTTTGTATAGAACTCACATAGTATTTGTTATAATATGGTTACTGACGGAAATGAAAGGAACTCATGTTATTATTAATTAATTAAATATATACATGAGCCGTCAAGAGCATGAAAATAGTAACAAGAGATATATGGGAGTTTCCCAGAGCAATGGGTTTTATGCTAACGATCAATATTGAGTCTATCAAATAGAATTTTCAATTACACACCTAAAATATCACGGATTAATGTCATTCGAGTCGCTGAAGTCTTTAGCAACATTTATATAGAACTAAATAATATTGGTTATAAATATTAGTATTATATTATTACCGCTAAATATAATAAGAAAATAATTATGTTATTGCTCGCAAATTATTTTATTTATATATAGTGTATGCATGTATATGGTTATAGAAATCCAAATAAATTTCTCAAATAAGTACTTTAAATATGTAATGACCAATGGATCCTTAAAATATACTAGTGGAATGTTGGTTGAGAAAAAAGAAAAGAAAAGGAATTACACGAGTGTAAATAATAATTAAAAGAAACAAACAAATGACATGGTGTAATCAACATCAACTGCGGTAGTTCACAGAGTAAGTGGATGGTAACTGTTATCCATGGAGAGTGAATATGAGAATTTATAGAAATAAATCATGACGCGGTCAAAACTAATTTTTTGTCCATTAATTAACCTTTATACACTTTTTTTTTGGGTCGAAACTCGAAACTAGTAATTTTTTCTTATTCCTACAAAAAGCTCTCACCTTTATCTTCTTCCTTTTTTTCAGTTATACTAACAAAAAAAAACAAAACAAAAACATACCACCCTGTACTCATCATAATAATATACTAATCTTCTTCACAGATCCCAATTCCAAATCCTTTAATTTATGGTATTTGATTTGATTATATTGTTCGGATTAACTACGAAGAAGAAGAAGAAGGAGTATTGAGGATGTCTGGGTTATGGAGATGGAGAAATGTAAAATATACTGCATTTAGGAATATGATTTTTCGAAACCAGCAACAACAGCAGCAGCATCGGAATTTGCAGCATCGAAATTTGCAGTATCGGAATTTGGTGAATTGGTTACATGTGAAGCGGAGAGAGACTATAATTGGGGTGCAAGAAAGGTATAAATGGGACCGTGGTGGTGGTGGTGGTTCTTCCGATGAGTATAGAACTGCTCCGAGAAGGATTAGGGCGGAAGCTTATTGTCCTCGTTGTTCTAAGCATATGGATCTTCTTTTCTCTAATCGAAATCATCAACTCATTCCTCCTCCTCCTTCTAATGATGATGATGATAACAGTAATAGTAGTAATAGTAATAATAATAGTACTGATTCGAAAGGTGAAGCAGGTTCAGGTCCTTATCAGGCTGTGAATCTTTGCCCTAATTGTAAAACGGCTTATTATTTTAGACCGTATAAGATGGCGCCACTTCAAGGTAGTTTTTTTGAGATTGGAAGGATGAAAGGGAATGGGAATGGTAAGAGAGTGAATAATGATGAAGATAATGGGAAGAGACAGAAGCCGTCTTTTTGGGAGTCGTTGAAATCGTATGGTGGTGAGCCTCCTGAAAATTGGACACCACCTGGTAATGGGCTGGCTGTGCATACACCTCCAGGTCCACCATTTGCTCCTGGACTTAATCTGATACGGGCTAATGGAACTGAAGGGAAAAATGGGGGTGGTAAAGATGAGGGTAGTGATGAGAAGAGTGGGTGGGGTGGGTCTAATTTGGGGAAGAATCTGCCAACACCAAAAGAGATCTGTAAGGGACTTGATACGTTTGTTATAGGTCAAGAGCGTGCCAAGAAGGTTTGTTTTTCATTTTCTTATTTAATCCAATGTAGTCATTATTTCTTCACTGAACTACACAATACTGAAAGGTTGGAACTTTATGACTATGATCAAGCAACTGAATGAGTCTATCTATTGGTGCGCAATCCAATTGAACTTTCAACTTGCAACTTTAATCAGCAGCAATTTCATATTACTAATCTCTTTGTTACTTGCTATTTTCCTTCTCAAAAGAAAAAAAAAGTGATCTTTTTGTAATTGTTGTTGCTGGGAGTTTTGAGCATGAATATATTTCTATTTTGCATTTTATGGCTAAAGGAGATGCATATCTAGAATGCTTGTTCCTGGGAATTGAAATGTAAACTGGACTTTGATGCTTATGCTTCAGGCGAATGTTTTTTGTGTCGCTCTATCCTACTTTAGAGAAGGACTATAGGGTAGAACTCTCTCTAAAGTCATTGTTTGCACAATAGGTGTGACATAAAATAAATGCGTCAAACTTGTGTTTTGTCTTTATGTTGTCTTTTGTTTACGAAGTGATTCATATGGCAGGTGCTTTCGGTGGGTGTTTATAATCACTACAAAAGGATTTACCATGCTTCATTGCAGAAAGGGTAAGCAATCCATTTGATTCATGATTTGTTGAAGGCTTATTGCTGATCAGCATTTCCTTCTAAATTATGATAATTTTTTATCCTGTTGAAAAATTTATCTTCTTTTTCCTTTCTCTTTTTACTTTATTTTCTCCATATGAACCATATTTATTTACCTCTGCATTAGGTCTGGAGCAGAATCGCCGAAGGACGATAATGAAGAAAATGTGGAATTGGAAAAAAGCAATGTGCTTTTGATGGGGCCTACCGGATCAGGTAAAATCAAACTTCCGTTCTTGTACTTTCAGTCTGTTACTTATGCAAATCTTTAACCTAAGAACCTTCAGAGATTGTCAGGTGACAGAAGTCTCTATACTAAAGAAGTCCAAATTTAGGTTTTCTGATTCAGGAAACTAGTTGCAAACTTAGTTAATTTTGTGAATGTGCCGTTTTTCATTCTGGTACTCATTTGTTGCTTCCTTAAACTTTTGCTTAGCCTTAGAAATGTTGAGACCTTGTGTAAGTCGATATTGCTTGTTATCAGGGATGTTCCGAATTTGAGAACCTAAATTGAGAAATTTCTAATTTATGTTTGGAAAATTGGGACTGTAAAAAGGAAGGAGATGTGGGAAGTGGGAACTTGTGTTTCCCCTTTGCTTAATGAGAAATGATACCTTGTAAAACAATGGATGAGAAGACATTTTCTCATTGCAGATACTGATTCTTTCTTCATCAGAATACCTTGTCCACGCTTTCTTGTTTTGTCTGCCAACCGAACAAGGGAAAATTGGACTTTCTTCTCGTTTTCTTCTTTTTGTGTCGGTCCTTGTACTAAAAACGAATTAAGTTTCTGTAACACAGTAATAGTTGCAATAAATATAGATTGTTTTAAGAATGCACTCATTTTCATTTTATGCTTTTGTTTGTAGCTTCCCCAAACTAAGGTGTGTCCTTACTATCCAATAATATTTTCTGCCGACAATTGCTTATCTGTGTGGAAGAAGTTGTGAAACTTTGAACTTTCTAACTCTGCTTTTGGAACAGGGAAAACACTACTTGCAAAAACGCTTGCACGTTTTGTGAATGTGCCTTTTGTTATTGCAGATGCAACAACCTTAACGCAGGCAAGTAAGATGCTGTTTGATTTGAACTTTGCCCGCTTTGATTGTTTCTGTTCTTATTTAATGAAAAATAAATGGGTGTAAATCTGTCCTTTTACTGGCAGGGTGCTTGCTTTAATTATTTTTTCTCCTTTTCTGGCCTTTTTGCTGTCACTGACATTGCTCCTCTCTAGCTAAGTTATGTCTGACTTACCTTGTTACTCGGTTTTCTCAATGCATAGATGTTCTTCTCTTGAAGGTCAAAGAACATAGAATCTGAGCGGTTGTTTGGGAACTTTTAAAATCAGAGATCAGATATAATGAAACTCTAGTTTGAAGTTGATTTGGTTGAATATTTCCCAGTTCATGTTTGATCCTTGTTTGGCTAGATCTGAGTGTTGTGATTTTACCAAATCGTAGTTTAGAAAGTCATCTAATCTGAAAATTCTGTAATATCTCTATCAACGTGTCAAATAGTATATGCCAATGCCACATAATGACTGATAGGATATCTCAGTAAACTTTAAATTACAGGAAATATATGAGAATCATTTAGAAAGAGAGAAATATGAGAGCTTTTGAAGGGGTGGAGATGAGCTTTAATCGATTCAGGAGTAGTCTCCAATCCCTTATTTTCTTTTGGTGTACTCATGTAGTTCCGGTTTGTATAGAGGATTGGGTATCTTTTGGAGATATCCATATTTTGTAGGTTTCATCTTTTTATAGTATACCTCTTGTATACGGCCAAAATGGCCTTGTCTGCTTGTCATTATCAATGAAATCTTTTACTTGATCAGACAAAAAAAAGATACTATTATCCATTATAAATTTAAGCCATTATTAAGTATGATGATAAATCTTTTTAACCTTAATGAAGCATTTTGTGCTATCTTACAGGCTGGATACGTTGGTGAAGATGTCGAATCCATATTGTACAAGTTACTTTCGGTATATTTCCTGCTTCAGATTCATAAGTTTACAAATAACTGGCTGAGTTAAGCATGTCCTATTCTACATATTCTTGGTTCTAGAAAAGTTGGATTTATTACCAGGATGCTTCTTTTTACATTTTACATTTAATATGCCATCCCTTTTATTGTTATTCCCATCTTTTATTGTGCCAGTAGTTTCTTTATATAGCAAAGTATTACTTTAACTTAGAATATAGTGTTGACTAATATGTGGGTGATGTTAGGAATGTGATTCCTGCTCTCTTCTAAATTTCCATATTTGCACTAATTTAAATTCATTGCATTCTCTTGTATCGGACAACTCATTGATGTTTACATTGGCTGTATTGGTGGATTGTTGATATGTACGTGGACTCTCCAAAAATGTTGCCGCACCTGTGTCGGATGCTTCAAAAATGCACTATTTTCGGAGGGTCCAACACGCACCCGTCGACATTTTGGAGAGTCCGAGCAACATAAATCCCAACAATGTGGAGATTCCTTGATGATGTCTGATCTCGTGGGACCTCTCTATTGAGAAGGAATTGGAAGAGTTGGTTGGATTTGATCTATACCTTCGTATTTATACTAATTTACAGTCTTAGAAGGGATAAATGAATGATGGTTTCCTTTAGCACATTCATCTGCAAATATCACAAATTAATAATATGCTTAGGTTTCAGTATGAACTTTGCTATGGGGATAAATTTGCTGTGAAATATACTTCTATGTGTGAACAGGCCTTTTTGTCTCATTTCTTTGAATCTTAGTATAAACTTGCTCTGGATTGGGGATGTTTGCTGAAGAATTTTGTTTCTTTGAGCCTCTTTTATTTATTGTTTTGAACCAGGTTATGAAATTTTGAAAAGAACTATTAGCTTTCAATTTGATATGCAGGTTGCTGAATTTAATGTGCAAGCAGCACAACAAGGGATGATCTACATTGATGAAGTTGATAAGATAACAAAAAAGGTGTTTTCTTTTGCCTCTTTTTTGTTTTTATGCCTCCTGTTAATGAAATTTGATCATTATGTAATTCTTTTTTATCTGACATTTGAAGGATATCACAACTGATATCTATCTTATTCATATGCAGGCCGAGAGTTTAAACGTTAGCAGAGATGTTTCTGGGGAAGGAGTTCAGCAGGCACTACTGAAAATGCTAGAAGGAACTGTGAGTGCTCTTGATCTTGGACCATTTATTAAGTTTTTTTTTTAATAATAAGAAAAGAAAGTATTTGTTGGCTCTCTTGGGCTATTCTTAGCTCCCAGATTATTTAACTATGTTCTGGCTAACAAGTCTAAAGGCTACAAGATTTCAGTTGTATATTAGGGGAAAGCCGAGTTAAATTCTACTGCAAATTTATTAGAAAGCTATTAATCAGGATATATAATCCTATCAGCAACAACAATACGCCTCATTCTCAAACAAGTTGGGTCGGCTATATGAATCCTCACTAACCACATTTCTCCATTTAAATTCATCTAAGAAATGTACATGGAATTCTCTACATTTTCAACTGGCAAAAAAATCTCTAATAGAGCTAAAAACTCCTAAAAAGCATAGGACCTTCAATTAACGTACTAACATGACTGAAACATATTCCTGGCTAATTGGTCTCACCAATATAGATCTTTTTCTTTAATTGTAAAATAAAGTAGATTCTGAATTGCAACCGCCATCTAATTAAAGCAAAAAAAAATGTACATCTATCATGTTTGGAAGAAGGGTTCAACTTTTAATGATCATGGGTTGAATTGAAGACTATTTGATCTTCTAATAGACACCAGTCTAGGATAGACCGCATAAAAGAAGAACTTGAACTTTACCCAGTATCTGTATTTCATTCTCAAAAAAAAAAAAAAAAAACTTGAACTTCTCTTGAATTGGTCGCGAATACAATGAGAACTCCTCATATTGGAGTTTAGGCAACATTAAATAAGGAAATTTTTGATTAGACTATATCATATGAGGGAAGTTTGGACTAAGTTCTTAAATAAGGGAAAACTGCACTCCTTTTTTGGTGTAGTTTGGAACCTTGTAAATGAAGCTGATACAGTGTTGGACGTACTGGAATCCCTGCAGGTTTAGGAAGGGGAACACTTTTGTTTCTTACTTTTGCTACATTATACAGATTCAGCATAATCCTTGTGCTCTGGAATAAAACTTAACCATTCTCAAGAAAAAAATTGTTCTTAAATAAAGAAATTACTTTAATTCTGAGATTCCTAATTATGACTGAATTTCAAAGAAAATTCTACAGTATTAACTTAAACATGTAAAATGCATTTAACATATAACTTAATTAATTCCCTGGACTTTCAGTATGCCCCTCAAACATGATGTAGTGAAATAACTTGAGTTGCAAATCAAAACAGTTAAGTCCCGGCAAGTATGCTGGAAAAAGTTATTGTTGAAGAAACATTCATCTTATTTATATTGTTGAATAGTCTCGCCTGAATAGTGAACAGTCACTAAAAATAAAGGCATTGCTAGAATATGCTTTCATCCTAAAACTAGCAGGTAATTGCACCGTGAAGAAATGTGTTGCTTCTTGAAAATATCAAACTTGAAAGCTGTTCAAAGACTGTCTTTTCCATTTTGACATTTGATTCTAAAATAGTCCAGTCGAAATCTTTGATTGTTATCCTGTTAAGCTTCTCTATCCTCACGTTTTGTTTTATTTAGTTTTTACAGTGTTATAATCATGATGCTGAACATAAGTGCTTAAAAAGTTGGGCAGTTAGATTACAATCATGCTGTTTAATCACTTTAAAGTTCTGTTGAAAACAACATTGTTTAGCTAATGATGTAGGCTGCTGCCTTTATTAACCAGCATTAACAGAAATATCCCTTTAATCCAGATCGTGAGTGTACCTGAAAAGGGGGCAAGGAAGCATCCTCGTGGTGAGAATATTCAGGTAAAGTGGATGAGAATGTGTTCGGTTCTTCTTTTCCCATGTTACCATTCTCAGAGTTCTGCAACCTTTTGTTTTTGGATTAAGTTATAATTTGCCTCTGTAAATGGAAAACTCTAGTATACTTAAGGTATACAGCATACAGAAGACAGAATCTTCCACAAAAATAACATGAACACTGCTAAGTGGTAACTTGTTGTATAGAGTCTGATTCTTCCCAATACTGAAGGTAGGAAGGAGAAGTATATAAGGTTTTGAATGGAAGCCCTTGTAAACAAGCAAACAACCTTCTATACTAAATGGAATCTTGTTGGTTCTTTAAAAGTTTACAAAACAACATAAATGGTTCCCAGAGCTGTACAACCATGTTTCTATCCCTTCAAAAAGCTTGTAGGTTCCTTTCCTTCAGAGTTGTGCAAGCTTAAAATACAATGTAATGTTTTACATAATAATGCTTGTCTACTGTATAGTGCCTGAATGTTTTCTCTCAATCTCAACACTATATACAGTCAACTCATTGTTTACAGCAAGCTGATGTTCTTTTGACCTATCGTTTCTTGAAAAATCTAAAACTGTGGATGAAATGAATTGTAGGATCTGCCATTCTTTTATTGGGGAGAAGAACACTGCAGTTAAAAACATAGATGACTTCTCACTATGCCCCTTGTATTAATGGGCTGAAATTCAGCACAAGGCTTCTTTACCTGAAAAAGTGAGGTGTATGAGTCAGAACAGGAAAATTCCTTTGTAATTAAGTTCTTTGAATTAAAATAGAGAACAGTGGCAGAGGCAAATTGGGAAGCATTGAGGATACTCATAGTGAAGCATAGGGCACAAAGTTATAGAAATGTGAGCACAGTAAATATCAGAGACAAGGTGAACATTGCACATTTAAAGTACGTAAAGTCTACCAAGAAAAATATTTGACTTTTTAATCAAAAAGGAGGTAATACGGTGTGGAATCAATAGATAAGTTAGACAAAATTTTCGATTCGGAGATGTTAAAAATTGGACCTCATGCTCTGACTTTAAAGTAGCAAGACTTGTTATTAATGGATTTGTCAATGGTTAGCATCCTTAAGTCCACTTTTAGATGTTAATGTGCTGTCAATCAGATCAGACAAAATAAAGTAAGGTGCTACATGTAGACACTTTCTTTTCTCTGAATTGGAACAATAAATACATCGATGATTCTTAGGCACTAACAAAACCCAACTCTTGTGCTTCAGTTATTCAATTCTTTTTTATTTCTTCTGCCTATGAATTTTCAAAAAGTATCCCCATTTTTTTAACAGATAGATACAAAAGACATTCTTTTCATCTGTGGTGGCGCATTCATTGATTTGGAGAAGACTATTTCCGAGAGGTAATTTTTATTTTCCAAATTACTTTTTCTAATTGCATCAGGAACTATGATTTTGTGAGTTATGATGGTTTACAAAGGGTCTTATTACCAGACGACAGGATTCTTCTATCGGTTTTGGAGCTCCAGTTCGTGCTAACATGAGAACTGGGGGAATAACAAATGCAACTATAACATCATCCTTGCTAGAATCTGTAAGAATGATGATCCAATTTTAATTTCTTTTTTTTTATGTCTTAGACTTTGAGTTGTGTGTTGTAGAATTTACTAGTCAGTTGCTGTTCCTGAAAAATATCATTTTCATGTTTGCAGGCAGAAAGTAGTGATTTTATTACATACGGCCTCATACCAGAGTTTATTGGGCGTTTTCCTATATTAGTTAGTTTATCTGCGCTGACTGAGGACCAGCTTGTTCAGGTATTTTTATTCTCTGAGTTGCCTTTATTTTTATTTTTCTACGTAATCATGGACTGCATTGTATATGGAAACAAGCTGCAACTCATTCAGAATTGGAGGTTTTCTCTCATTCTGATGGGTTGTGCAATTGGTTCTTCATAAGCTTAGTGTACCTACTGGGGCAATTGTGTTTCTGGACTAGCTCTTTTATGATTTAAGCAGAACAAATATTGGTAACATCCAGTTGGCTCTCTTCTCATTGGTAACTATGAAAGACCTGAGATTTATGAATGTTGAGATTGATTGGTTATTACTTGATGTATCTTATTAGATGCATTGATCAAATTTGTTACAAGATGTTGCAATACAAGTGTTAGTATTAGAATTTTAGAAGTGTTCAAGTTCTTTACTTGGATGTTTTCTTACATTGAATAAATATCAAATGTGTGTACTGGTTGATACAGGTTTCTCTTCCATCCATGAATTACCAAGTCATCAATGTATATTGTCTTCTCTTATTTTCTCAGTGACCAGATTTATGCTCTTAAGTTCGATTTCTTCTTAGAATTACTATTCACGTATATTTTATGTAACCAGTTGCACCTAATCAAATGCCTTGTGAGTGCTTGGGTGGCGCCATGACTATTTCTGTTAACTATTCCTGGGTGAATATACCTTTTTTTTTCTTCATTCCAGCAGCACCACACTTTCCGGTGACTGTCCCAATGGCAACACTCCTCTTACCTGTGACCATTTTGGTGGCACTACGCCTCTTTTTGATGACCGTAATGGTACCCGTCAAGTTTATCTAGCATTCTGAATATTGTTTCAATCACTTCCTAGTATTAGAGTTAGAAAGTCAAGTGTTCTTGTTCTGAAAGTATTTTGTGTTTATCAAATTATCAAGTCTTAAGCACATGACTTCTCTTTTTAATTCTCACACAATTAGAAAATTTACATGTAGGTGTATTTTTAGTTCTAATTTATACACCTCCTTAAATGATATTAACAAGGCTGAGGTCTAATTAGTTACTGACTAGTCCCTGCCTGATTCTCTCTTTTTTTACTTCTGATCTACAACTACCTGCTTTTCCAGATTATCGAGTGGTTAATCTCGTGTTTCCTTTTTCTACAGGTCCTCACTGAACCCAAAAATGCTCTTTGCAAACAATATAAAAAGCTATTTAGCATGAACAATGTAAGTACAAACGATGATAACTTTACAACCCCCAAAAAGAAAAAAGAAAGAAAAAGATTCAATCATGATTATACACATCCTCAAACCCGGAAGCCAGAGTTGATTTTTTTTTAACTTAATTGATTTGGACTTTCATATGCTTGTTTAGACTAAGCTACATTTTACGGAGGGAGCCTTAAGGTTGATTGCCAAGAAAGCAATGGTCAAAAATACTGGTGCTAGGGGATTGAGAGCCTTGCTTGAAAGCATCTTAACTGATGCTATGTATGAGGTAAACTATGTCCAAATCTATAAGGTCATGAGCAAGAGTTTTTCATATTTGATTCAATTGATTGAATGTGCAGATTCCTGATGTCAAATATGGAGATGATAGAGTAGATGCTATTGTGGTTGATGAAGAGTCGGTAGGTGCAGTAAATGCACGTGGATGTGGTGGGAAAGTACTTCGGGGAGATGGTGCTCTGCAACGGTATCTTGCTCAAGCAGACTTGGTAGATCAAAGAGTACGATCTGAACTTTCACTTGTTTAGTTTACTCTCTCTATAGCCCTTCTCTTGTCAAGATAATCATGCTTAGATTGTGTTAGCCACATACATGCACACTGTTTGACATCTGGATATATCTGATTGCTAGGAAAATGATGGTGCAGCCGAAACTGAGGTGCAGGAGGGTGAGTCTGAAGTCTCGTCGAGAGCAATAAGCATGTAAGATTATTAGAACCAGAGTATTAGGATTTCATACATGGTTAAAATTCCATTTGTTGTAAAATGTAAATTCATAATACAGGGTGTTGATCCCCTTGTAAAACAACATAGCAATCTGCTTCCAGCAAAGTCATAGAAAATAGAATACGGTATACGAGGAAAATGTAACCATTCTAATTTATAGGCAGCAGGCAGCAAGCTGTGTACCGATTCTTTGCAATGAGAAAACTTTGATTCTTCATATTTCTCTGTGATTTGGCTAAGCTTATAAACTGGTCAGAAGTGTTATCTTTCTCACAAAATTTTCAATGTTGTTATAAGATGTCAAAGTATTTAAAGTATTTTATGTAGTTGAGACCTCGAGGTCTAAGGTTCGATTCTTCCCATTTATCCCAGCTTTGGTGGATAGAATTATCTGGTATCTGTTGTTAGTGGGAGATGGTAGGTATACGGTGGAATTAATTGAAGTGTGTGAAAGTTGACCCGCACACTAAGGTAAAAAAAACTGTTTTTTTTCTTAAAAAGACGTGGGTAGGGAGGGGATGGTGATTTCAGATATCACACCAAGTTTCGATAAACGTAAAGGAATAATAGTATTTCTATTTAGAGTAAATTTTAGGTTTAGCAAATATAAAAACCATATTTGTATGTTATAGTTATAGTTTGCATAATTGTGCTTCATAGCAAATTTTATGTTTTCTATGGAGCTTTTGATTTGTATAATTCGCTAGATACATTCAATTTATATACAAATTGTTCAGTTTTGTATAAATTCATTTATACAATTGGATAATTTGTATATAAAATGTTTCAGTTTTTTTTATATGTGTATATGTATACAGTCATGTTCGTTTTTAATTATGATAATTGCGTTTGTATATTAGATGTTATTTGTATATGTATATGTGTTTTTTGTTAGGCTTGTCCATTGTATATGTACATATAGCTGTAATTTGTATATGTATGTGTTCTTTGTATAAGTGTATATGTAAAATCTATATGGAAATAAGAAATAGTATTGACTGTAATTTGTATAAGTATATGTTCTTTTTGTTGTGCTTTTCAGTTGTATATATATGTGTGTGTGTAATATGTATATAAATAAAAATTTCCATTAGTTGAATCTGTATATGTATATGAAAATTCATGAAAAAAATTAAAAATATTATACATAATACAAAGAAAAAATAAATAAAGTTGATTTCAACATGTTTTTGGCAGTTACCTGAAATTTTAATAGCACATTCAGGAGGGTAATGGAGACAATTCAAAATTCAAAAATAATGTTAGTGAGAGGAAACTAATCTGGGTGAGAGAATTTAGGAGAAAATTGTGTAAATGAGGAGAGAAAAGAACCGAAAATTCAAAAATAAAAAATAATGTGGAAATAATGTGGTTGAGAGAAAACAAATCTGGGTGAGAGATTTTAGGAGAAAATGGTGTAAATGGGGATAGAAAATAACTGCTTTGATTTGTATATATCTTTATACAAATAAGCAACAAGAACTCAGTAACAACAACCGAAGAAGCAGACCGCCATTTTCTTGTCCTTTAAGGAACAAATAATTCGATTGAGTAGAAAATGTTGCTAGGAGAAATTGCTATCACAAATTATATGGAACAGTAGCTGCGAATTGGAAATAAAGTAAACTATAGCTATTATATTTAATATCAATTAAATGTTTGTTATTTCATACAATTTTTCCTTCTATTTATTACTCGATCTGGCTCAATTTCTATGATATTTTTGCTTCTTGAGATTCATATTATGTGAATTTTGATTGGACAATTTAAGATATATTCCCTCTAGTTCATATTAAGTGAATTATTGTGACTTTTTAATAGTTCAAAATAAGTCAATTATTCAAAGTTCAAAAAACATTGTTGGGATTTTTTATTCCATAATTTTTCTTTATCTAATGAGGTTCTTAACTACTTTATATTTTCTAAGAGACAAGTTTTGAAATAATAAAAAAAATAATAGTGGAAAGTAATTTTTAAATTATGCCCTTAATTATCTTTTTTAAGGGTGTGTCATATCCAACAAGTCACTTAATATGAACAGTACATGACAAGAATTGTAGTTAAAAATAGTATAATTTACATAAATCTCATAATGTTAATAGCTACTTACATTATTTTCCTACTATTTTTCAAGTTAGAAGAATCCCTTAAAATTTATGGATTTCGGAGACATCACTGGACTTTCTGATACATCAATAGACATCCTATACATAGGGGAGGATATACCCGAGAGGGGAGATGTATCCGAGAGGGAAGAGATGAGTATCAGAGAGGTGAGAGATGTATCCGAGAGGGAGATGGGGATGTATCAGCGAGAGCGGAGTGATGTATTCGAGGGGGGATTTTTGAAACTTTTTTAAATGGTAGGAAATTTTAGAGATTATGGTAAAATAAAATGTATATTTAGATAATTTTTCCTTAAAAGTATTTTTTTTTTTATAGTTTTTAAATATCTAATATTAATTCAATCAAATCTAATTTAGTTTTAAGAATAGTCATTGAAACGGGGAATTTATTTTCGTTCAAGGAAAGAGGTCTAGTACTTTTTCATGACATATTGAAGAATGTTTTAGGAGTAAGACCTGTCTTGGCTTTTTGTTAATATCAAAATAATAATCAATAATTTTCTTTATTAGTTTAGTGGCACGTCAATAATGGGATAAGACACTAGTATTCCCCTAGACTATGATCAAAATCTCAGAGACACATCTTAACTAAACTTAAGGTCCTATTACCCCTGAACTTATGTTTTTTGTAATTTACAAATAAGAAAATTTATCTTTTTTAAAGATTAATCATATATCTCATATTATATATCATATTATATTATAAGTGGGAAGCTCCAACATTGAAAGTTGAATTACCATTTTGCCCCTACACTAAGTAATAATCTAATTAAATCATATTTATCTAATCTAAAATTTCAATAATATTGAGAATAAATAAAAATAATTTCGTTGAGTCTTTTCCACTACCCATTAACTATGCATGCAATGTACTTAATACACAATGTACATCAGCAAACTTAATTACAATAACTATAATTTTATCTTCATTATATACAAATTCCCTAGAGAATGTGAGAAGGTGCTCCGAATATTAATTTTTATTCTTGACTATTCAGTTGCCTAGCTAATTTAATTAGTATTATATAGCTCTGTTGCACTATTCTCATCTAATTATATCCATGACTAGAGATGGTTTTTCGTTCAGATTTTGACGAAAACTATACTCTTTTTTATCCTTCCTCTTATGTGAGTATATTTTTAATGCAAGTTAACATTATGTGATATTAATTTTTATTATTTGTGCCATTTTGCTACATTTACAGAAACATTGCGACAAAGATATATATGAACCATTTCCTCAATTTAAGTTTGTGTCTATCTCTATGTGTCATTATATATGTATGTGCATGTGGGTGTGTCTTTGATATTTGTGTGGTGTTGGATTTAAGTTTGTCAAGAAGGCGCAAAATTGAATTTTGATGTCCTTAGCATTCATTTCTTGAACTTTCTTGTCTATGTCTGTTGAGAACTTGAGTTCTTGAAGATTTGAGGGTTGTGCACTGAAGTACTGCTCTGTTGACTCTAGCCATTCTCTGTGTTGAAATTTTTTATGGATGAACCTGTTTTTGTCTTTTTTTTTTTCTTCTTTAGCTCCATCCTCATACAAATTGTCAATCATACAAAATATATTTCTCCACTAAGTTGAAAGAGGTTTTATTACTATTTATTATAAGCAACACATATATCCTACAAAAAGGAAAAAAGAATTTCCATAGAAGTCTAATTCCTATAGTGCATCGTAATTTATATCTTTACACTGATTGA